AGTGAGGGTAGGACCCATGTTTTTAATTTCTCCATAGTGCTTTGGGTTTAGGAGGTGCTTGGCAGGGGTGCATGTCTACTCGTACATTTGGCCAATATTTACAGAACACCTGTTATGGGCCTTCTGCTGAGTGCTGGGGATATAATGGGAAACATGACAGACATGGAAGGTGGTGAGAGAAGTGGGGAAAAGCAAGGACTCTGGAGCAGACAGCTTGGGTTCAAACTCTGGCTTCACCATTTAGTAGCTGTGCATCCCTGGGCAGGTTACTAGACCTCTCTGGGTTTCAGTTTCCTCACTCTTATAACAGGAAAAGATAAAGATCTGTCTTAAGGGGTTACGCTGAGATTTAAATGAGATGATAAAGGCAATGTGCTTAGAGTGTGACCCGGCGCATAGGAAGGCCTGCACATACTTTGGCTATTATTATCCTAAGACATGGTTTGGCCTCACAGAGAGTGCTGTCTACAGGGAACACAGACACTGAAAGACTAATTATACAAATAACTACCTGTTTCTGAGATGTATCAAGAAGGAAGAGAAAAGTGCACTAGGGGCCAGAGAACAGATGGCCTGGATTTGTCCAGAGGGTCAAGGAAGGCTTCTCAGAGGATATGACATCTAAACCAAGACTGAGGATGAGCGGGAAATGCCAGGCCAAGTGGGAATTGAAGGGTGTTCCATGCAGAGGGAATAGCATGTGCAAAGCCTCAGGAGGGAGCTTGGCATTTTGGAAGGACTCAGAGATGGGCAGAGTGATGGAAGCACAGAGAGCAGGGGGCAGAGGTAGAGGTGAGTGTGGAGGGCAGGGCAGGGCACGTCAGGACTTGGGGCTTCATCCCAGGAGGTTGGGAAGCCTTTGGAGGTTTTGATCAGGGCAGTGATCGTACCTGCATCTTAACAAACCATTCCAGAGACGGGTGGAGAACCTCAATGGGAGGCTAGTCTCTGGTGCTTATTTTGGGGTGTAGGCTGTGGGGAAAGATGCATGTGTCCGAGAGCGGTTCGGAGATCAGACGCCGGACAAGAAGGTGTGCCCCATCGGACTGGGAGCAGGGGAAGGAGAGACGTGGCGAAAATGGGTGTAGATTCTCTGCCTGAGCACCCGGAGAAGGGAGGAAGAACCTGCTCAGACGTGGAGGGACGTGATGAGCCCAGTTTGAGCTTGAGGGCGCAGGGGGGTTAGTAATTTAAGGGGAGTAAAAATAATACACCAGGCCAAATCATGCTGTATGGACGATGTAAGGGTAGGTGAAGTAATCATAGGTTGAGCAGAGACTGGGTTGGGGAGTCTATTCCTTTGTTTCATGGAAAAGAAGTTGCAGATGGAGATGCTTTGAGCACAGAGATGTGCACGGGGAGCTTTGGTGGGGCTTCGGCCATAGCAGCTCCCCATAGACGGGGGCTCTTCCCAGCCCTGGAAATGGGTGAAGAATCTAGACAGGCACCACAATCTGCACATGCTCTGGTGTCGCTTAGGAGATTTCACTCACTCCATCACTCATTCATTCAACAAACATTTATCACTTATTTATCTATCTATGTTCTAGGGCTTAGGCGTATAAAAGGTCTAAAAATCCCTCAGCTTCTGCCAGAGGAGATAGACAACAAACACATCAGCATATAATTAAACTCGGGTCTGCTACAAAGGAAAAGAAAGGAGGGTCACAGCCTGGAAAGTGACAAGGAAGGCTCTGAGTTGAGTGGAGAGGCATGTGAGACTGCCTGAATGGGAGGCACCTGAGTTTCAATAGAACAATCGAGAAATCACAGATTGCTGATTTGGAAGTCTATGTGAGGGCACCTTCGTGGTTTCTGTTGTCTTTAAATATATATTATTAAATTTAACTGGCACGCATATTAAATAACTGATGTAAACATTAAATATTAAATAACTGATGTAAATGTTACAACTTAGTAGAGTGTGAAATAAAAGCCTTAAAAATGAACAATGAAATCAGTGAAGAAAATTGTAGCCAAAAAATGTCAGAGCATTCCCAAAGCAGTGCCACCTCTAAGAGGGATGGGTCAGTGTGACAAGCCGGTGTGCAGAGGCTCCTGAAGTCTTTCATGATCCACTTGATACGAAGGAGTGGATCACATGGATATGATAGGGAAAAAATACTTAAATTTTTTGTAAGCTTGATGCAAATTACTGAACTTACTGGGGTGCCTGGGTGGCTCAGTCGTTAAGCGTCCGACTTCGGCTCAGGTTATGATCTCACAGATTGTGGGTTTGAGCCCCGCATCGGGCTGTGTGCTGACAATGCAGAGCCTGGAGCCTGCTTCAGATTCTGTCTGTCTGTCTGTCTGTCTGTCTCTGCCCCTCCCCCGCTCGCACTCTGTCTCTGTCTTTCTCTCTTTCAAAAATAAAAGTTAAAAAAATAATAAAAGGTGTGATACGCCCCTTCAAAAGGAGGTGGGTGGCAAAGGGTAATGAGTTTCACCAATGAACAGAGGATTTAGATTAGTCATTTGCCGAAGAAGACTTTGGGTGTCCTAAAAGACACTTGACCTTCTGAGTTTAGAACAACCCAGAAAATTTACACATCGTGACAGGAAGCTAGTTGTGAAACGGGAAGAAGCTTTTTTGAATTATCAACACCACGTTTTGCCCATGCTGGAAAAGAAACCGTTCTTGAGGGAGAGCTGAACCGTCTCTTTCTTCTCGCTGCAGAAACACAGACGTACAAAATTGTTGTTGAGAATGTGAAGGCGCAAGCAAAGAAAATGCAGCCCCAAATGTAGGAAATAGTAAAGGAGTGTCAGACAGGCGTTTTAAGATACTCTTACATACCTTTCTGGATTCTGTGACTTGTGAGCTACTGGTCAGCTGCTGACATTTTATAATCTGTTGGAATTTATTTGCTCATTACAAATACATCTTCCTACACTTAAATTCATTAGCTATTGCTGTCATCTTGCTATAACGCCCCCAAACTCAGCGGCTTACAACCATAATGATTTATTTACATAGGTGTGCAGACCCGCTGGGGCCCTGCAGCTTTAGGCTAGAGCAGCTGGGGTCAGACGATCTGCGATGGGCTCAGGGGACGGCTCTGCTCCAAGGGTTACATCTCCCACCCAGGACCAGTGTGCTAGGAAATGTCCTCGTGACGACAGCAAGCAAAGTGGCCTTAGAAACAGCATGCTGTCATTCCCACCCCATTCCATTGGTTAAAGCAAGTCACGTGGCCAAGCCCCCAGTCAAGAACCGTGGAAGAAAGTCACAAGGCAGAAGTGTATGCACAGGGAGGGGTGAAGATTTGGCCCAATAAGGCAATCTCCTATTCAGATGTCATTTTACACTTGTCATTTCATAATCTTTATCTTAAAGAGCTCCTCTCCCCAAACTGTGCAAACCTCAGGCTTCCAAAAGCCCTGGACCTCTTCCTAGTGGCTGTGTTTGTTTGATGGTGCCCAGGGTAGCTGCAGTGACTGCTCTAACAATGAACATCCTGCAGTGTTAGTCCTGTTAGTCTCTTGAAATACTTGATACCACAAAGTCCTCTTGAATTCAAAGTCCATTTACATCATTTCAAGCCATTTCATTCATCAATGACGGAGAAGGAAGGGCTGTTAGATTCTTTAAATACGATTTCAGTTGTCATAAGTCCTTAAATGGTTGCAAAAAAAGTGGTGATAGTAATTTATAGAGGTAACTATATTTAAAATTTTCAATGGAGTCGTGCCTGGGTGGCTCAGTCAGTTAAGCAGGCAACTTTGGCTCAGGTCATGATCTCACAGTTTGTGGGTTCAAGCCCCGCGTTGGGCTCTGTGCCCACAGCTGGGAGCCCAGAGCCTGCTTCAGATTCTGTGTCTCCCTCTCTCTCTGCCCCTCCCCTCCCCTCTCCCTCTCTCTCCCTCTCCCCAAAATAAATAAACATTAAAAATATTTTTTAAAGTTTCAATCAAAAATTTTGTGTAGCTGCTGCAAATACAAAATCTGATCTAAAAATGTGTGTTCACAGAAGCAAGCTCAAATCTCAAAGTAAAAACTTTGAAAAAGTTTTATTTGAAAGTGTTTACAAATTTGACATTGAGTGTCATTGCTAACTGTTTAACTGTTTTTCAAGGGGATCCTAAGTGACAGAAAGAAATGATCATAACCTTTGGTTTTGTTCCTGTTTGTCCATGTATATTATGCTTGGTTTAGTTATTTGTCATAACATAACATGCTACCCAAAACAAAAGCCAGAATTTTGACTATAATCTACAAGTAACATAAATTCCCTCATCCCATCCTCTGTCTGACCCAGCACTACATTTTGGCTTTCATGGATCTGGATGATTCTGCCTTCGTGGGCCTCTTCCTACACATACACACACACACACACACACACACATACACACACACACGTACATTTATTATATAACTGCATTGATATAAAGATTATATTAATATTATACATTATGCTTTGAGCTTTGCTTCTGATTTAAAGGAAATTTAAACATTTTGATGGGTGGTACAACCATTGTGGACCCAAGGCGCTGAGTCCGCATGCCCAATGGATAAGCGGGCCCTATGCCCTCAAGTGGGGTACCGATCACTCTGGATCCTACGCTCATCATTCCTTGTTTTCCTTTTTTATATCGTAATTTATTGCACTCTATGTGTTCCTTTAAAGAATCACTTTTTAAATGCTCATTCATTTATTTTGAGAGCGAGAGAGCCGAGGAGGGACAGATAGAGAGGGAGCAGAGCCCAAGATGGGGCTCGATCTCATGAAATGTGGGACCATGACCTGACCATGACTTCAAAACCAAGAGTCAGATGCTTAACCAACTGAGGCACCCAGGCGCCTCCAGAACCCTTTTAATATTAGTCATTTTTAACTTTACGAAAGGATAGCATATTGCATACAATCCTTTGAGATTTACTTTTCTCGCTTAGCGTTAGATTGGTGAGATGAATTTATACTTGAACCTGCCCCCGAAGCTCATTCATTTTGACTGCTGCCTCTTGTATATCGTGTGTGAGCGTTTCACAGCTTACTCACCATTTTCCCATTGATGGGCACTTGAAACGGACATTTTCTGGCATTTCTTACAAGAACAAAGAACTGGAATATCTCAATGGCTCATAACACCAAATAGTGCTCACTCTGGGAGGCTAAGGGTCAGCTGCAGCTCTGCTGGGAAAGAATCTTCACCAACAGGGAGACCTGGCAAGGGTGAGGAAAAGAACAATTATGAATAAGTAATGCGATTGATCCCAGATGGTTTCCAGGCATACTACGTGGGCAGCTCTGCTGCTATACAGGGAAAGCTTCTGGGTCGTAAGCTCTATCAATGCTCAGCTTCAGAAGACAATGCCAGACTTTTCCACAGTGATTTCACCAGTTTACATGCCGTCAACAATGTGCAGAAGGTCCTAGGGATCCACACCCCTTCCAACACCCGGGATTATCAGACTTTTAACTATTGCAAATGGAAGGGATGTAAAATGGTGTTTCACTGAGGCTTTGATTTACATTTTCCTGATCCCTAACAATGTTTGACATCTCTTCACACTGACTGGCTACCCATGTTTCTTCCTCTCTGAAACATCTTGCTTATAGACTTTGTCCACTTTTCTTTGTTGTTGTTGTGCTGTTTTTCTTACTGATTTGTAGTTCTTTTTTTTTCTGCTTATTTATTTATTTTGAGAAAGTGAGAGCAAGCGAGTGGGGAGGGGCAGAGAGAAGAGGAAAAGAGACAGAGAACCCCAAGCGGGGTCCACACTGTCAGCAGGGAGCCCGATGCAGGGTTGGAACCCACAAACCACAAGATCATGACCTGATCCAGAATCACGAGTCGGTCGCTTAACCAACTGAGCCACCCAGGTGTTCTTGATTTGTAGTTCTTTATATATTCTTCATACTATTCCCTTGGTGTTTAGGTTGTCTCCTCCTATCTCATAACTTGCTTTTCACTTCCTTTAAGGTGACTTTCCTTTTAAGTTCTTAACTTTAATACAGTCAGGTTTATCAATCTTCTATTTTTCGGTAAATGCTTCTGGGGCCTTATTTAAGAAATCTTTCTCTACCCCAAACTCTAAAAGTATTTACCTCTATTTCTACTAAGGTCTTCTTTTGGAAGTGTAGCCTCTTAATCCACCTAGAGCTATCTCTATATATGCTGTGAAGTCATTTTTTCCGGGCTCCGTTTATCGTACCCTCTTTCTTTTATTCACCATGATGTGCCACCTGTGCTATGTCCCAAAGTCCCATATATGCATGGGTGTGGTTCTGGGCCTCTCTATTCCATCTTACCAGCCAGTCTGTCCCCATGCACTCCCATACTGCTTTCGCAGCATATAGCTGCAGAGGAAGGCCTGATTTCTGGAGGGGGGGGGCAAGTCCCTCCTCCCTGCTCTTCTTAGAAGTGTCCGGTAGCACAGCAGGCCACCTGACCTGGGGTGGGAGGGGAGTTGGACAATCTCCTAAAGCAGAAAGGATGAGGGATTTGGAATCTAATCCTCATTGCATCCTAACTCTGCTCCTTCTGAATGAGTGACTTCAGGCATGTCAATTTCCCTTTCCAGCCTTGGCTTTCGGTGCATAAACTGAGTACCCAACAAAGATGTTCGGAGGGTCAGATCAAACCATATGAACCCAGAACCTGCTCATTGACCCTGAGTGTTTGTGACATGGAGCCCAGAGACGCTAAATGACACACTCAGGGTCACATGGCTAGATTGACCCAGTGCTACCTTCTCTTCTGCCAGGATTCAAAGATAATTTCTAACTAAGTTAGTCTTCTCAGTTTCTTTCTTCTGCTCCCCTACCCCACCCCACCCCCTGCAAAAATTCCACTTCCAAAAGCTCATGGCACACCATAGTTCCCAATGACCCCATCTGCTTTGGCTCTTTCTTATCTAATGGGAACAGAGTGAACTGGGTAAGGGTGTTGGAAAGAAAGCCAGGCTAAAATCCAACTTTTTATGGCCCTGTTACCACAGGCCTTGGCTGAGTGGGAGCTCAGGGCTTCCGATAGCAACCAAGTCTGGGCATGGTTTCCAGGAGGGTCCCTGGGCTGGAAGCAAAGCACTCTCGGGAATCATGGAAATCACAGTGGCCTTGAGGGTTAATCACTAAAATCAGGCCTTGACGCAAGGCCCATGTCTGTGTCCTTCCCTCTGTCTCTCTGGATCTCACCGCGGCCCCACTCTGCCTCATGGCCTATGCTCATGGACGAATGAATGAACATAGAGAGGTGTGGAACCACCTGGAAGAGACAGTTGAACCTCATTCTGAAGACATAGCCAGAGAAACGGTGTGCAGCTTACCAGCCAACTTGGTAAAGCCTTACAGAGAGAGAGAGAGAGTTCGTAAGAGAGTATGAGTGTATTAAAAGTTGTGAGAATGCAAGTGTGTAACTGGCTCAGAAACTGATGGAGAGCTCAATGGAAGGGAATCGAATCCACAGACAGACCTAGACATGTAAGGAAATTAGGTACATGATAAAGGTGGTATTTCACACGTGTGACAGGGTATTATACATTCAAGGGCAATTGATGAGCCATCTGGGGAAAAAATCTAGCTTTGCCCCTAACTCATAGCATAGACTAAAATAAACTCCAGATAAATTTAAAATATATAAACAAAAAACAAAACCACAAAAATAATAGAAGAAACTATCAAAGAAAATTTGTTTTTGGAATCACAGAGCACAGACATTCTTTCTACAATGTGACACAAATCCCAGAAGTTATCAAGAAAAAGATGGACATATCTGACTTATTTTTAATGTTTTACTTTTATTTTTGAGAGATAGAGACAGCATGAGCAGGGAAGGGTCAGAGAGAGAGGGAGACACAGAATCTGAAGCAGGCTCTAGGCTCTGAGCTAGCTGTCAGCACAGAGCCCGACTCAGGGCTCGAACCCACGAACCATGAGATCATGACCTGAGCCAAAGTCGGATGCTTAACCGACTGAGCCATCCAGGTGCCCCTACATAAATATTTTTAACTTCTGTAGGGGGAGATAAATGCATACACAAAGCAAATGATACACTAAACTGAAGAAAATAGTTGATTAACTTTCCATGTGACAGATGAGGAGGAAGAAGCTGATATTCAAAGGACTCATACAAGCCAACATTTTTTTAAAAGCACAAAGGAAGAAAAGTAAGAAAGAAAAAGATGAATAAGAAAAATAGGCAAATGATATAGGAAAATACATTTTACAGAAAATGACATTCAAGTGGCCAAAAAGAAAACAAAAACCCAAAACCATGAAGAGATGCTTGAATCCACACACACAAAAAACCTTGATCCAAATGAAAACAACAATGTGATGATATTTTTTATATATCAGATTGGCAAAAATTAAAAGGTACCCTGTGTTGAGGGACAGTGACCAAGTCCTCTCCTGAAATGCAAATCGGTACATTATTTTGGAGAGAAATTCATCAATTTCTTCTTTTTTAAGCTCTCATTCATTCATTCATTTATTCTGAGAGAGAGAGGCAGGGGAGGGGCAGAGAGAGGGAGAGAGAGAATCCTAAGCAGGCTCCGCACTGTCAGCACAGAGTCCCATGTGGGGCTTGACCTCACAAACTGTGAGCTCATGGCCTGAGCTGAAATAAAGAGTGGGATGCTGGGGCGCCTGGGTGGTTTAGTCGGTTAAGCGTCCGACTTTCGCTTAGGTCATGATCTCGCAGTTCGTGGGTTCGAGCCCCGCGTCGGGCTCTATGCTGACTGCCAGCTCAGAGCCTGGAGCCTATTTCAGAGTCTGTGTCTCCCTCTCTCTCTGACCCTCCCCTGCTCACGCTGTCTCTCTCTCTCCTAGAAATAAAAAAATAAAAAACATTAAAAAAAAAAACTAAAAAAAAAAAAAAAAGAGTGGGATGCTTAACTGACTGAGCCACCCAGGTGCCCCAGGAATTCCTCAATGTCTACCAAGGCCTCATATTTATATTGTGACTTTGATGTAGTTAATTCTGGCTTTGAGAATTTCTTTTATAGAAACACTGGCAAGAGGGAACAAAGAACAGGAAGTTCCTCGCAGCATTGTTTGCGATAACAAAAGACTGGAAATGTATGTGTGTCAGCAGAGGATGGAGGAATTTATGGCACGTCCATATTATACAGCTGATAAAGAATGAGACAGATCTCTCTATACGTGCCAATGTGGAAAGATGCCCACAACTTAGTTTTCTATTCTGAAAAACAAAACAAAACAAAACAAAACAAAACAAAATAAGTTGAGGGGCTCCTGGCTGGCTCAGTTGGTGGAGTGTGTGACTCTTGACCTCAGGGTTGTGGGTTTGAGCCCCATGCTGAACATAGAGATTACTTACAAATAAAACTTTGGGGTGCCTGGGTAGCTCAGTTGTGTGGCTCAGTATGCACTCTCTCTCTCAAAATAAATAAATTAAAAAAATAAAATCTTTTAAAAAAATCTCAAGTTGAATAACATATGTATATAATATTATTATATAGAGATTATATTATAACATGTATTCAAATGATAAAAGTTTTTAGATTTTTATTTTTTATTTTTTTATGAAAAATTTTTAATGTTTATTTTTGAGAGAGCACAAGTGGGGGAGAAGCAGAGAGAAGAGGACAGAGGATCCAAAGCAGGCTCTGCACTGACAGGCTGACAACAGTGAGCTTGATGTGGGACTCGAACTCACGAACCGCAAGATCATGACCTGAGCCAAAGTTGGATGCTCAACCAACTGAGCCACCCAGGTGCCCCTTAATTTATATTTTTAAAGTGATCTCTCACTCTCTCCATACATATTTGTATGAAACAGACACATATGTGTATATATAATTTTACATATATTTTACATACATATAAATTTTACATATATATAAATGTACATATATAAATTTACATATATATCTATTATATGTGATTAATAGATCTGAAAATGCATACACCGAAGTGTTAACAATGATTGAGACTGAAGGCAAAAATTGAAATGCACATTTTCTATATCATTTACATGTTTTTCAGTGAGCACATAATATTTTTATAGCAAAGTAAAAAAACAATTTTATTAAAAATATTTAACTGACATTTTGGCCTAATATAGCAATGTTTGTGAGTTGGCTACTAAAAGTCTGCCTCGAGGCACATGGGTGGCTCAGTCGGTTGAGCGTCAGACTTCAGCTCAGGTCATGACCTCCTGGTTTGTGAGTTTGATCCCTGCGTCGGGCTCTGTGCTGACAGCTCAGACCTTGGAGCCTGCTTCAGATTCTGTGTCTCCCCCTCTCTCTGCCCCTCCCATAATTACACTCTGTTTCTCTCCGTCGCTCAATGATAAACATTAAAAAAAATCTTTTTAAAGCCTGCTTCTAGAACACTCTCCCAACCTACTAACAGATAGAGCTTTCTGTTGGATCATGTTGCCTTCTCCTGGCTTTAGAGGCTTCCCACCAAGGACCCTGCTTCCTTCTGAAGCTAGAATTTGCAAGGACTGCCTTTTATCCTGAGAGATCCAGAGAAGCCACTTGTGTTTGCCCAGGACTCACTGGGGCACAATAAATGCGACCCAAGTGCATACCCTTTGCATTAAGGCAAACAAACCCTTAGCAACCCAGTTACTTTGTTGGGTTGGCCTTTCACAGAGTTGGTACCAGCAGCCTCCCCTTCCCACCCCAGACAGGGAGCTGCCCCGAGGCAGGCAACACCTCCACTGTCGTCTGTATCCCTAGGAGCAGGCACAGAAAAGGTGACTTGACCTAATTTGTCAACAGAAACATAGACCAAGGGGACTTGCCCGTCAGGCGGGTGGCGGGTGGCGATGCCTAGCTATAAATGGGTCTGTGCAAGTGAGAAGAGACGTCAGCAGTGAGCCATCAATGGCGGGAGGGCAGGAGGGAGAAAGGGCAGATACAGCAAGTCAGAGTACCGACGGGAGAAAGGGAGGAGGCAGCCCGCACCCCTGAACATCTCGGGCAGCGCTAACGGGACATGGAGCTCGCCCATCGTAGGAGCAGAGAGCAGAGCGGCGGGCAGGGGTGGAGTGGGAGGTGGGACAGACCAGGCTGTATTCTGTCCTACAAAGCCAGCGGGCGAGGAGATGGCTGGCACTGCCTGCTCACAACTGCCGCAAGCCCCTCTGCGGTGGAGACGGCTTAGGAAAAGCAGGTAGCAGCGCGTGCCATGGCCCACAGGCAGTTGACAGGCTGGCATGAAGTACCCATTTGTGTTGGTATCCCCAGTGCCCGGGGCCTGGCGCAGAGCAGGGACTAAGAGGGTGCTGGAGGACGAAGGAAGCCAGGGAGGGCGGCAGAGATGGGGGCCGAGATAGGGCAGCGGAGATGTGGGACCAAGACAATGGCCGTGAACCAGCACTGCTATCAGGCAGTGCTCTGAGGGGGTCCTGGAAGGCAGCCTCCACTTCACTGCCCCTCCTTGGGCTTCTGTACTCTTACCTGCACCATGGGCGTAGGGAGGGAGCAGGAACGTTGGACTAGCACAGTGATTCTGATCTGGAGTCCCGGAGCCCTAGGGAACTCTCAGGATGGAAACGGGTACCATGAGCTATTTTAGCACTTCCAAATGTGTAGCAGGAATTGTGCATTTGCTCAGGATGCGGCTGTATGTGCTGGCAGGCCAGATAGCTTTCTTTGGGGCTGGAACTCCGTTCCTCCCAAGGAACGGGAAAGCATTTGGATCCAGCCCCCTCTGCAGGCGGACTGACTCAGGTTAGATCGTATCTCGTTGGGCCTTTGGCCAAGTCAGCCTCTTCTGAGCATTAGTCTCCTCTTCAGTGAAATGGGGGTGATGACAATGCCCCACTCAGAGGCTTACGGTGGCCGTGGGATGCGTTAGCACAGGTAAAGCACTTGGCACTGAACCTGGGTGAGCCCTGGGCAAATGGTAGTTACTATCATTATTAATTCAGGGTAGGAAGTCTGGACATCTCATGGTAATCAGAAACTCGGACTGGAGCTATCTATATTGATTAATAAATAGTAGGAAATGAATGAATTATTAATTATGTAGAGCAGCTTTTTGGAAGAGAACATCTTTCAAAACATGAGGACCCCCTGCCCCCTGGAGAGAGATCAGGAGTGTGCATGGGGGGACAAAGATTGAGCCTCTTTGTGTGAGTCCCCTTCCTGCTGGAGTCGAATCAGAGACTAAGCCTTCCGTCTTATGAGCCTTGGTACAAGTCATTGTTTTCTCTGCTTGGAATGCCGTTCTCTCCCCCTCTCTGCCTGGGTGAGTCCTTCTAGGACTTCTCCTAGGACACCTCCTCCAGGAAGCCTCTTGTGGCCTGTGGACTCACTCCTTTGAGGTCGCACACTACAGTGTGCAGTACTTTCTTAGACCAGTGATTCTCAACCTTGACCATGCACCAGAATCAAATTAGGGCTTTTAAAAAGTTTTTTTTTTTTTTTAACGTTTATTTATTTTTGAAGGAGAGACAGAGACATAGAATCTGAAGCAGCCTCCAGGCTCTGAGCTGCCAGCACAAGCCTGATGTGGGGCTCGAACTCACGATCTGTGAGATCATGACCTGAGCTGAAGTTGGACGGTTAACTGACTGAGCCACCCAGGAGCCCCAGTTAAGGGTTTCTTAAAGCAGAGATTGTCGGGCCCCACTGTGAATGTCTGGTTGGGTGGGTCTGGAGCGCGCCCCAAGAATCTGCGTTTCTCACATGCTCACAGCAGTTGCTGATGCTGCTGGTCCCAGGAATCAGGCTTTGGGAATCTCTGGTTTAGATCGAGCGCTCTGACACCAAGGATCTCACCCGTTTATTCCACAGCACCTCCAGTCCAAGCAGCGCCTCGGAGTCGGTTATTGCATGGAGAAAGCCAAATAACGAGCCGTAATACAGAAGCTTTCCCAAGGTTTTGTGTGCTGACAGTCATACAGCAGCGGTGACCCAGCTGGAAGTTCTCACCAGCCTGAGGGTTGAAGGTGAGGTGCCCACCAACCGGGCAGCGGAGGCAGAAAGCCCGTGTCCTGGGTCATAGCGCCCTCTGGTGCCCACAGCTCAGCTCTGCGCCTGGAGCTGTGAATGGTCCGCTGACAGAAGGAACGGGCTTTCGCCTCTCGAACTTGTCCGTGACACCCCCATGGGTAACCTGCTGAAACCCAGCTCTGAGTGTACTCCCTTTTGTCTTCCTCCGGGTTATACCTTACCCACGTCTGTGCACTGCCTTCTGGACAAAGCTAACATTCAAGTTCCTTTGCTGCCTGGCCCCCCTTCTCCTGCCTCTGGTCTCTCAGTACTCTATTGCTCTCCTCAGGAACCCTCTGTTTTATTCCACACAGACAGGCCATGGACTTTATGCCTTTCCGAACGCTAGTCCTCCTAATGGGAGTGCAACGTACCTTCTTCTCCTGAGAAACTTATTCTTTCTTTAATATCAAACGTGGCCTCTTCCACGAAGCTCTCCTGGATCCTCCCGGACAGAAGTGATTGTATAGCCCTGTGCATAGGCCACTATACAGACCCCATGGTGCACATAAGTACCAGTTTGTTGGGTCTGGCTTCTCCTTAAGACTATGAGCTTCTTCAGGTCCTGACTTAGCTTCGGTGTATCAATAAATGCTTATGCAATCTAAAAGGTTCTTCCCTCCCTCCCTCACTCTCTCTCTCTCTCTCTCTCACACACACACACACACACACACACACACACACACAGACACACACACATGGCTCCAATGCTCCAACCCCCCTTTCAAAGCTGAAAATCACTTTCTGATTCCTAAGGCTGCATAGATCCTTAGATGCAATTTGTTCATTAATGCAATCAGATATATTTGAAGCCTTCCCTCCAGCAGGCATTAATCCTACAGCAGGGGATACAGAGGAGAATAAAGACAAAATTCCTAGCTTTGGAGCTTACATTTTAGTGGAGGAGAAAGACAATAAACAAAATAAATGCTGCTAAGTAGCGATACGTGTTATAAAGTAGGGTGAGAGATAGAAACTGATGGAGGGGGTCTATTTTAGGCAGCGAGGTTAAGGAAAGTCTCACTGATGAGATGATATTTGAGCAAAGACCTGAGCAAAGTGGAGCTCTGAACCGAGCCTCCATCTGGGAGAAGGCATTCCTGATGGCTTGCGAAGGTCGTGTGGGAGGAGCGGTGTCTTAACATTGGGAAATCCAGGAACAGACTCTGAGATGGGGACTCGTGTGCAAGTGACTTACTAAGTGCTTCCTTAGTGATAAGCAAGGCAGGGAGTGGAGTCCGAGCAAGATGTGGCTTCGAGCAGGATGCCGCGGAGGGTGGGCTCAGCCTGATCCCACAGGGAGCTCCGGTGCATGAGTTACGTCTTGGATTTTTTCCCAACCTGTGATACTCCTGTCAGCCCTTGGTTTGGGGTCACCCCAAGGAGAACTGAATGCTCAGACACTTCATGTGGGAAAAGTGGACTCCAGGAGTCCCTGGGCAGCCCTGCCCCGTGAAAGAGCCATGGGTGTTGAAAGCAAAAGCTTACCAAAGCTGGAGAACACACACAGTGAGGAAAAAGTGAGTATCTGAACATTATCAAACATTATTAGTGGGGCACTAAAAATCATCTGTTAGAATCAATGAGGCTGAAGAACAGAAGTCAAGGGGACGGATTATGAAATGACATCCAGGAGTCGGCTAAGGCCAGATTAGGTAAACCAACATCTGATTTTGCTTCAAAGAGGCAAAGTGCCAAGCTAAAAATCTACATTTCCCAGTCTTCCTTGCACGTAGGGGTGGCCAATTCTAGACACTGAGATCTAAGAGGAAGTCTGCTAGAAGCTTCTGAAAACACACCGATTTCCTGATGGAAGCACTGCCTCTTCTACCTTGCTGCTCCCTTCTTACCTGGAATGTGGACCTGATGCTGGAGGTAAGCAGCCATCTTGTAACCATGAGGTCACAATGAGGCAAATGTGATCATAAAAGCTTCACGCTAAGGATGGTGGAACAGAAAGACAGAAGGGCACTGTATTGTGATGTTCAGCTGCATGGCCTGAAATGCCCACCTCTAAACTTTTTTGGGGGGAGGATAATAAAGCCCTATTTGATGAAGTCACTGGCTTTCTATTACATACACCAAACCATCATCTCTAAGTGCTACTGCCTCCAGTCTATGGCTCTACACACTACCAAAGCCATACTCAGGTTTAATGCAATTCCTTTCAAGATGCCAATAGCAATTTTCATAGAACTAGAAAAAATAATCCTAAAATTTGTATGGAACCACAAAACACCCTGAATAACTAAAGCAATCTTGAAAAAGAAGCACAGAACTGGAGGTAGCCCAGCCTTCTACCTTTGGTGAGAGCGCCTGTTCCCACCCAAGTACAGTGGATGTTATAAAGCTCTCTCGGTTTGCTGATCTTCTGTGGGACTAATTCTATCTGGTTTTATTGTGCATTTATTTAGTTATGAGTGGGGCTGAGTGTTTTCACATGTTTAGTGACTATGTGTAAGTGAGCTCCATGTTTCTGTGCTTTGCCCGTGTTCATTTGGGAATCCCAAAGAATTCACGATGGGCACCGGCACCTGAAAGGTTCTGAGAATTCCTGTAGGTGTAAATCTGCAGCTTAACTTCAGCACAGGATCATCCAAAATTATTGGACCGCAGAGCACGTTTAGTCTTGGAATCCCTTTTGCTATTAGTTAGCATAGAGCTTTGTGACTGGTGTGCCATGAATGGGCTGTGGGCATGTCATTCTGTTCAACCACTCAGAAGTTCCTGCTGCTGAAAGTATGTCTGAGCATCGTCAGATAGCTCCCTCTGTCATTGGTAATACTTATTTTTTGTGGCCAAGATTTTATGCCAAGTACCAGCTGCCAGGAAGCTTCTGTCAGGGCCATGCTATGCCACACACCCCCTAGAGGTACACAGCGGCTCAGCTGATTATCATCCTTGTCATGGTTTGCTTAGCACCTGTGACTTTATTTTGTGAGTGCTTCTACAATAGTGACATTTCTTTAATTTTCTTATTTTTCACATTTTGCTAATGTAGGAGTATGGATATTATTATTATTTATCAGTTCTTTAAAAATTGTTTAATGTTTATTTAATTTTGAGAGAGAGAGAGACAGACAGACAGAACATGAGTGGGGAAGGGGCAGAGAGAGAGGGAGACACAGAATCTGAAGCAGGCTCCAGGCTCTGAGCTGTCAGCACAGAGCCCAACGCGGGGCTTGAACCCACAAACTGTGAGATCATGACCTGAGTTGAAGTCGAACACTTAACTGACTGAGCCACCAAGGTGCCTGGGATATTATTATTATTTAATGGTAAGTGTTTTCATGTCCAAATAATGTATCATGTTAATTATCTCACTTGTCGTTTCTTGACTGAGCGAATGACTATTGATTTTTAACGCTAATGTTTAACACAGTTTGATTCAGAATGAATTGTTGTTAGCTTTTAAAAATGGAAAATGCTTCTCTGGGGCTCCTGGGCAGCTCAGTCGGTGAAGCGCCTGACTCTTGATTTCGGCTCAGGTCATGATCTCGTGGTTTGTGGAATTGAGCCCCGAATTGGGCTCCTTAAAATTCTCTCTCTCTCCCTCTCTCTCCGGCCCTCCCTTGCTCATGCGCATGCTCTCGCTCTCTCTCTCTCTCTCTCTCTCTCAAAATAAATAAACATTTAAAACTAATTTCTAAAAATATAAAATAAAAACAAGAAAATGCTTCTGAAGTTAAACATACCTGCTCGGACTCCGTGCTTCTAGCCCTTGATACTGATTTGCCCGCTGGCAGGGAGAATACAGGTCCGCAAAAAGACGTGCACAGACATGTTTGGGGCAGCTTTATTTCTGAGAGTCGCAAACTGGAAACCAACTACAGGTTCATCAGCAGATGAATGGATACATTCTGATATCTCCACACAGCAAGGATGGATTTCTCAAACATGATACCAAGTGAAAGGGCACCCGCTGTATGTTTCCATTTATATAAAGTCCTCAAACAGGCACATGTAACCTATGTTGATAGAAATCGGATGAATGGCTACCAGGGAACAGATGGGGCTGCCTTCTGAGAGGGTGGAAATTGTCCCTATCTGGATCTGGCACACAGAAATGGAAAAATACACCTGTGTCCGCAGCAGGTCCGTGCACTGCACACACATCCCTCAAAGTATTTTAGCTCAAGAGAAATAGTGTAAAATAAACACTAAAAATCTTATGTCTAGAAACAAAAGTAATTGAAAAACAGCAATTATTTAAGAGACTAAGATGGGGGCGCCTGGGTGGCTTAGTTGGTTAAGCGTCCGACTTTCGCTTAGGTCATGATCTCACGGTTCGTGGGTTCGAGCCCCGCGTCGGGCTCTGTGCTGACTGCCAGCTCAGAGCCTGGAGCCTGTTTCAGTCTGTGACTCCCTCTCTCTCTGACCCTCCCCTGCTCACGCTGTCGCTCTCTCTGTCTCCTAGAAATAAATAAAACATTAAAAAAAAAAAGAGAGAGAGACTAAGATGTTATGATGCCAGAAAACTGATTTTCAAAATATTGTTATTACACTCGAATCTGAATAATGGCTTCATGTTGCGAATTTTCAGGATTTTAAGTACCAAGTTAAGTGAGAATTAGCATTTTAGTACTTCCTATCTTGCTTACCGAATTCTTCTTTAAAAATTTAATGCAATGTGTATAGAACCTTCTTAGAGATGCAGAAGACATAGGCATAAAGACCTATAGTAACCTTAACTGCCTTTGATTTAAGTAGATGTAAATAGGTGTAATTTTTATGTCTGTCATAATGGGCAACTTTTTAATTAAGATGGGATGCCACTGGAAACACTAAATAGTATGTTTCTCATTCAACAGTCAATAAATATACCCAG